TTATAATGAATTTCCCTTCGAATCCTGAATCTGTGATGGCAGTTTGATGTTAAGGACCAAATCACAGTGATGAAATCCATTATCAGTTGTGTCATAACCACAGTCATTAGTATGCATTGACGTGTTCTCAGGCCACGGGGGTCACCAGTGAACATCAATTAGGTCTGACCCAGCAATTAAGTACAATGCCTTGATGTACACACTACCTTGCATACAACTCTAGTGACTTTTGCAAGTTATCTCCCCTGAATTACCTAACTTTAATTATAATTATCGTATTTGATCCAATTAGGACACAAAGGTTGGGTACATGATGTTCAGGAGGGCTGCTTTATTTAGTGTCAGTTTTTCTCAAATAATATATAATGTTACTTCATATTTTTACTATTTTACCAACATGATAGATAAATGGTTTCTTAGCAAGTTTTATTCGGAAAGATTACATTTGTTATTGCATCAACGGATAATCTGCTCTACAGCACTTTTGTTTTTGTTCAATATATTTATTGTCATCAGAAATAAAACATACACCCCCCATTCAACCAGCTTAAACACTTCAACCTATCATTCGATTTACCGACTCCATGTAAAATGTCTTCAAAGTGTCATCAATGTCATATGACCTCATGTTTATTTTTAAATCTGATGTCACAATTAATGGGTGTTTTTATATAATACATCAGAAATAGGACACAAATATCAATATGTTGTCTCTTTGTTAGAACAACACTATGGTCCTGTGATAAATATAAAGTTTAGTTTCACAATAAATACTAAATCAGCTGATTTGTTGCCGATGTGTACATATGTACACACATGTACGTAAATCAGAAACAGGCACACACATGTACGTATATCAGAAACAGGCACACCGACTTGTTGACACATCAGTAAGTTATTTCTGTCACACTTCAATACATATTACACACAATATATATGGGGCAAAGAATATATGCATTATTCATTATGCATTACTTATAGTGGCACTGCACAGCACTGTCAACCTCAGTACAGGCATAATGTACAGTTGACTGTAGCCAAAGTTTCCTCTGGCCCTAACACCAGACATCTATCTGTCAAAATATCGAAGTCTGGTGTCAGGGCCAGAGGATCTAAGGACCAAATCACAGCAGATTTAGATTTCTTTCAGAAAGATCCATTTATTATAATGTTATTACACACAATATAAATATATATATAGAGAGAGAGAGCAAGCTGAACAAGCTACCTCAGTCGTCTTTTAATTGAATTTACTGTACTTCCTTGTACAGAAACCTCAACAACAAGTTCTCACGATGCTAAACATGGTTTTTTTTTTGGTCTCCGTTGGTCACAGTAAGCCTTCAGTCCTCAAACCTGCCTCCCACACAATTTACACTCTAGCAAGGCCACTGACTGCCCAACTTATTTGTCTGATTCGACAAACTGTATCAATATACAGTCAGCAGTATGATAATGTTGGTAAGAATATAAATGCAGTTATCTTGTGTATTGATCCGTCTCCATGAACAATCATAATTATATAGATCATCAAAATCTCACATGTGAAGTTAATGATAATGTACAAAATCAAATTTCATTTTTTAAATTCAATTGCACACCAATCCTACATGCATTTATGATAATGAGTTAAACACATTAAGAACAAGGCAGCAGGCTTATCATTATCCATTTCAACCCATTTAATTTATTTTTTCTAAATATATACTATAAACTGATACAAATTATCCAGATTTATTTGTGACTTTTTTGCTAGTCGATCAGAACATAAATTGATGAAATGTCTGCTACAATTTTATAATAATCTTTAATAGCTAAATAGATGAATACATGATAATGAACACATATACAGCACAGGTATCATTGGATAATATGGATAATTATTTGAAAATTAAATGGGAAAAAAGCCCTCCATTTATACATTCAGTTTGTACATTTTATATTTTTGTCTTTGAAAGTTTTCATAAATTATGTTAATGACGAGTTTTCAACATGGCCTTGAAAATACTTCAGATATAGACCAAAGTTCAGAGCTAACTACGTATCCCCATGAGTTATATACTAATGACACGTGCTTGGTTTAACATGCTTGGTTTTACCAAGATCTTCATATGCACAGGACTTTGTATACATTTACACCCATTACAGCTACAAGGCGAGTGTATAATCTCTTGGTATCAAGTTCATGAAAGCTGTATGGAAGGACGGCTAATTATGTCCCACTAATGTCTAAACTATAATTTCTATCTAAGACCCGTACAACTACTCATGCCAGGGTATTCACTGGCATAACATGTACATGTACAGCTTACGTATAATCTGTCAATCTATGACGTCCAAAAACAACAATTGGTTATTTTTCTTTACGACAAAACATTTCTTAAGTTTGGCCCTGACCTTGTGTCTTTCTTTAAAACGCACACAAGGTGTCAAAAGACTGTATGTATGGCACGATGCCTGGTTTCAAACTAGGACACATTTAAATATTATTGTGACATTGACAAAGCTGTTGTGCATGACTCGAAGGACAACTGCAGTAAATGCTCGATAAAGAAAGACATATCACAATAATTTAACGCAGCATTATGTTCAGACATTTGTCAGTGGGAAAAATTCACATATACTTATAAAACCTGTTAGCATTATTTGTGTCTTTAAATGAAATTTACAACAATTTTGAGGTTTATTTAGGGAAACAGTATTTGAATACCCCAATACTGAAAATAGTGAAGTGTACAAGCCGTAAGCTCTTAATAACTCATTCACCCCTGAAATTTTATAATGAACTATTCCAAACATTGAATTGGAAGAGTTCAAATGTGTCTTCAGGGGTGAATGAGTTATAATCGTATCTTACAGCACACTTCGTGTATCTATATAATACTGCCCAATGTTAGATATACAGGACCATGATTTTAAATAGAGCTGTTTACATGTATACACATGTATGACATGACATTAGCACATGTCTATATATATACACACACAAATTTATGTGGGTGCGTAATCAAAGTATCCGACAGAATGTTAAATTGGCACTTCACGTCTGATACGTAAGGTAAAATGAACTTTACTCAGTATATATTTTGCCTCAATTATGAAATGTTTTATCAACAACCAAAATTTCTACATCAATACACATAGAACTGGCAATACTGATGCTTTTCAGCTGCAGATTTTTTTATTAAGAACATACGGATATTTTGCTGAAATGGATCGAGGCTCGTGCTGTCAGTATTAATAGCCAAATAAACAGTTTCTCAAGTCAATTTTGTTTTTGAACAAATATTGGTTCAGACAAAAAAAAATTATTTCGTTTTCTATCTCTGATAAATAATGCAGCAGGTATTTTTTTATAAATTTGATTTTATTCAAATGAAGAAATTATATAGCTCTATGCGTTATGACTATTTTCTCAGGATGACAGGGACACAAAGGTATCTATTCGTCTGTCCTAAACAAGTTTATTCCTCATTTATGAATAAATCATTATATTGCCTTGATCACTAGTGGTATCAACAAATAACATGTCCCGTATGGCATTCTTTTGGTTTTTAAGCTGTATTACTTGTCTTCTAAGCCGATATCGTGGCATTTTGATAGCAAATGTTGAATTGTGTAACAAAAAACAACACCTTACTGAAATTATAAAATCCCCGAAAGAAAATATCTGGAATGTTCACCATATATAACAAGCATCAATGGAGTTATACAATGTAGATGCTAGGGACTTACGCAACATGCATCCTTGATCGACCAGGTGCCGTCACCTGGTTAATTACGGTATAATACATCCTTTAGATCTAGTAGTTCAGTAAGTACTATATCAAACATGTGTGTTTTGTACTTCTATGTTAAGTAAATAGTGTTCATCTTAATTATACGTAACCCTGGACTGCCTATAACTTAAGTGCATGTCATCCGTTCTATGATACACCAAACACTGTGGTACATCTGCACAATATTAAAAGTACCACATCATCACAACACAACAATATTTAGACAATATCTCAACTCAAAGTCGATACAAATACTTAAACAGAACTGAGAAAACATGGTACAAAAAACAACATGAACCCGCAACCCCAAAATAAGACCATAAATGAGAAAGGCATGCAGATGCTGTGCAACAGTAAAAGTTCAGATAGAGAACACCGAGTATACCAGATAAACATAGCTGTATAAAATGGCATTAATATGCTGGGAAGTATAATTATAATCATCCTATGACTGACAATTAATGTTACTGCCATTTCATGCCACAGTAATTATTATACACCCAAATGATGAGTTCTATACATTTTGTCAAATTAAAACATTCTAAAACATTGCCAGACAATCAACTCATATCATATTAAGTTTAATGCAGGATGTACATTAATCTATATAATTACCAAGAACCATTACAAATGTCTTCGTCAGCCATCTAAAAGTACATTACCGACTCTATCCCATTACAAGACAATTTACAATATTGCCTATAGTCAAGGAAGAAAGTCATTATTCAGACTGCATGTAATAATCAATGTAACGGTCATAAAATTGTGTGCATGTTCTCGCTTTTCGATTCAACTGTTGCACGCCAAAACCTGTATAACGCACACAAAATGCAACATGCTATTTTATTACATCCCGTATGTATCTCCCAGGAATATCCTGGTTCTTTTAAACCTGGTACAAACTATCTGAAGGCTATCACGGTATTGTACTCATTTTTACCTCTGTAAAGAATTTAAGTGTCTGACACTTGTGAACAGCCCAAGCAGAAGCTCTAAGGAAGGATAATAACTGGCCCCATTACACCACCAGAAATAAAACTGTCTTTAATCAATTCGTTCTATTTTCAGTTACATATCCTAGACACATAGCTGCTAAAGCTTCTACAACAATAGAAAATAATACTTCAATTCTCACAACAACCATTAAAATTAAATATACATGAAGCACCGATAGTCTCAGGTAGAACACACACTGGGGTCAATAATCGGGGCCGAACTTACCTCATCATCGGTACAGACGGATCACCTGACCTTCAGATCAGCTGGGGCTGTTCCACTATGGAGTTATTTATATCCTCTAGATCAGCTGTTTGCGGCAGCCATGTGAGGGAAGCATGACTGGATGAAAAATCATACAGTGAATCACATGAACTCTTCAGCTATATAAAACAGTTTTCGGCCTTTTACCATATAGACATTCCACCAGAGAGAGATTTAGTTAAAGTGTAGCTTTTAAGTCTACAATGTTGGAAACCCAAAGCACTCCAGGTCCTGACTAGGTCAGATTGTAGCTGTACCGGTCTCACTGTGTATAAAGTACAGCAGACACACCACACATGTGTATAGATATGTGTATTGTACACCTACCTACATAAGTGTATATATTCACTGAACCAACGTCAATTGTGTGGACACAACAAAAATCCTTGCAACCGATTCTCACAGCGATGGCAGCATGGGTACTGTAAGGTTGAGTGCATCAATTTACATGAACAGCAAGTGCTTTCAGTAAGCATGCACTAGTGCAGCCTTGAACTTCCTACGTCATCGTGCATGGTGAAGCTTCGGTTTCGTAATTCTATGTGAATATCTTGGCAGGTAATCAAAGTCTACTGGGACAGGTTACAAGCATAACAACGCACAACACTTCCTTCATTTGTTTATGCAGTAACGCTTATAGTGTTAAGAATTAGTTAACATCAGATGATCCAATATTAGAAGTCCTCCAAGTGTCAACGAGCGATTTTAAGTGCAGATGAGTCATTGTTTAAAACTGCTTAACTGTTGCAAATATCACCAAATAATCAATATGTTTTGACATCAATTGTTAAGGCATCAGAATTATATTTAAACATCATTGAAATGTAATTTTTCGGTAATTTGTTATTTGAAATTTTAGTAATAGTCGAAAACGAAAAACTTCTTAACCATATTTGCCATATAATTAATGGCTAATACAATTAATTAAACAATACCAGGGTTAACAGGCTGCCTCCATTGTGCATATGTAGCTTCTTTTTTTCTATAAGTCTAATTAATGTTCTGTAGCTTTGCCCTGCCTTATTTATTACATAATAATGCTAATAACACTTTCTCAAGTGTTTGAATTAATGCAAGCAGACAATTACTGGATGTCATAAATTATTTGAATAAACAACTAAATATTTATTTTCAAAATTGATTTGATGTTCCCTGCACCTGTGAGCACACTCAACGAGGTTTTACTTGACAAGTTTATAATGTCGGACACTTATTCGTTGGTCACCAAGGTAAAATAAAACAGTTGACATTGATATAATTACTTGTAAGGTCATGTGTATGTAAACACATCCCACAGGGTTATTTAATGCTTAATTTATTTCAAAAACGATATGTCACTTTCTCTAACTTAAGCAGTGACTTGCAAAATAAGATATAGCGCCCTTTAAAGCTAGTTCATAGCCGCTGGCTATCAAAATGTTTTGTGGAAAAGGCTATCATAATAATAGCATAGAAATGCTTTTCATTTTTCGGGGATAGTTCACAAGAAAAATGGATAATGTGACTATGATGTTGCTAGACTTGTCAGGAATGTTGTAAATGAGGCTCTAATGGTTTGGTAGAGGGTTAAAGGACATTTTTAACACTCATGAATATGCATGAATTTATATTTGAAATGTGCATCATAGTGGGACTTATATATAGAGTATACATCAGATAAAAATAATAAACAAAAGCTGCTTCGGCCGGAATTTATTATTTTTCCAACTTTTCCAACCCAGAGTTATACATTCCACTAATATACAAATATATGTTGATTATATCTATTCTACCAAAAGTCAACGTAATGGAACCTTTCGTGTCTACATCAATTCTGATCAGTGCCCGCGAGACAAAGAAACTGCAGAGATCATCCAATTATTTAAAACATGTACATTTGCCAAATGATGTCTCTTTCAAGCCACAGTATCATTGTTGATGACATAATTTCCAAGTCATTAGCCAATCAACAATCATTATATGTATAAATTTGTGTACCAAATATCACTTGACAACGACAGTTCAGCCAAGGCAGGCGACAGCAGTCACGCCTCACTAGTTTAATTTGCAATGGCTTTCGAAAGAGCATTATATTACATGTGCGTGGTTTTGTTGGAAAATAATACTTGGACATGCCTGGTTTATTTTCCAATTAGTACAAAGTTAATACTTTTGTATTAATTCCACTACATTGTCCATCGTATCTATATTGAAACATACAATACTGAATAATAACAATTAGCTGTGGCCATCATGATTAAGAAATGTATATTACAATGTTTATTTAGAACCAGTTACTTGTGCGATATATACCTCAATATACTAGTGGATATGGGGGTATTCGGTAATGCACTCTTTTCAGTATTGACTAAATATGGCAAAGATTATCAACATCAAGAAATGTTGAAATGCTATATGACATTAACTCTGATGTCAGTTTCACAAATCAATATTATAATGTTTACAATTTCATATTTGGAGTATTACAAGGCCATTAAAGGGACAATTTTGCAAAGTAACTTTTTTTTATAACGTTGACACAAACATTTTCATTATTATACATAGTTTGATACTCCTTATGAACAATTCATGTCGTGAAATTGACAAGAGACAATGCTTTCTTGGTGTTTTTTATCAGTAATGGAGAAATCCTTAACTGTACAGTCGTACGTTTTAGCGGCAGCTGTCGGTGAATTTCTAGCTAACAAAAATGTCTTTCCAGCCGAGGAGAGAAGGTAACTTCTCGCTTTATTCACCTAGCCTATCTAGAATACAAGTACATGCATTTATTCTGAATCAAAATTGTCTTCCAACATCATCTTAATCTCTTACATCGTTACAAATGATCGAGAGATCTATTGATATCGTTCATTCTGCCGTTTGAAATTCTCTCTGCAGCACCCTCTCAGTGCGTGCATGCTCTAAGTAAACCTGTTCGTTTTTATTCAATCCAAATATGAACAGAAATATATTATTTGTGGTATATATTATGATACTTATAGTGCTTACTTGCGATGTAATGTGTAAATTCAAGAATGCGTTATGTGTGAACTCAGACTCGTAACTGGCACTGTGTTGTCGGTCAACAGCCTAGTGCTGTACAAGTTTACTTCTCATGATCACTGAAAGGCCCGGATTTTGAGCTATTTCTGTCATGGCTATTTTTATCACAAGCTTTCCAAAAAGATGAAACTGACAACACTGCATGGACATTGGCGTCAGGTCATGTTATTATCAACTACGAAACTTTCATTAAGAGATATATATATTCAGTATCGACTCGATTTTTCCGGTTGTTATTTGACTAACTAGCCCCTTTAACAAGCAGATTTCAAAAACATTCTACTCAAAATGTTAAAGCCCTGCCTATACTTTCTAGGAAATATTGTAAACTTTCACTTACCCTGATATCAGATTTACTAGCTGTGGGCGTCAGGCTAGTGGAATAACTGTGAATTTAATACTCTGAGTGTTATCACCTTTAACATGCAGTAAAGGGAGGTAATCCAACAGGCTTATATTTCAAATTAATATCTGGATTTAAATGTTTTAGTGCTTAATGATAAAATCATTTTTATACAAATACCTGTAAATGTATATAAGCACAGTCGATAAACAAACAGAACTAATTCGCCACTGCTAAATCCTCAATCATATCTGACACAATCACAACAAAACCACAAGAGTTATCTAACTTTCTTTAGCCCATAGGAAGAAGAACTGGTGTACACATGTACTGTTAGTGTATCAAGTCATAAAATGTAACCATGCATTACCATATACTTAGGCCTGGAGTGCTCTGAATTGACCTCAGTTGAACTCCACCACTTCCAACGATTTTTGGAAAGTTCAAGGCTCATTAAGGGTAGTTGATGCTTTAACTCATTCACCCCTGAAATATCATAACCAACTATTCCAGCCTTTCAATTAGAAGAGTTCAAATGTGTCTTCAGGGGTGAATGAGTTAAAAGGCTACTACACTATATATATATTACTACAGTTAGGAGGAAACACATTGTGTAGGTGTGGGATGTTCTTTTGGTACCCCAAATATAGCATTATACACTATTACATGTTTGATACCTGTATAGGTTTCCTACAGATTTAGCTTATAAAAAAAAAATTAAAAAAAATTGCCCCAATTTTCGCATAGCTGCTACTTACATGGCTTCAAGCTTAAGTTTACAAGTGCCCTATATCCTTATAAACACCTAATTTCAGCTGAGTAATACACCGTAGTTGTAAGATAATTTTTATATTGCTTGATTTTTAGAATATTCAAAGTGACCAAAAAAAAATTTCAACCATTCCTTGACATAATTTGAAATAAAGTTCATGGTTGTTGCCAATCGTTTCTCAGTTTGATTGAGAATATTTAATTACATCTCTACTTCAAATTTATCTGATCATGAGGTTTGAAAATGAATTGCAAAGATAAATCGCAAAATATCTGCCCAATGCAGCAACATATGCAAAGGCTGCATTGGGTCTTTCCAATAGCTAGAAGGCTAATACTATTAATTACAAACTAAAATAAAAGCATAAAATTCAACATTCACTCATCATTACAAAATTGAAATTCATAAAGGAAGAACAGATTTTGATTTAGTTTGCTTTATATTATAGATGACTATTGTTAAAAATAAGTCAAAATAAAGAAAACTAAAAATAATGCATCTCTGGGACTCGGAGTCGAATAATCAGTCAGTCTACTAATTAACTGGCCATTATAAACTCTAAAACATTGTATGGATTATGAAAGTGTAAATATGTGTTACTACAAAATGATCTTTTGAAGTAAGCCTGTCTCTATACTATCAAATACTGCCCATTATTGACACTTCTTTTCCATTATATATAGGACATTTTATATGTACCACAATTATGGACATATTAACATATATACCGGTATTATCAGCCGTGTCATCAGGATTCAAAGTTAGTACTACTAATAATGTGATAAATCTCAAGATGTCTCACATGTAGACCACAAATATTCTGTACTCTTTTACAATTCACCGTCTCCAATCTGGTTCTGAACTATTGATTTTCTAAGAACATGTGTACATCATGCTTTGATCATGATTAAAGCCAAGCTTGTCCATTATTTGCAAATTGGTATTTGCCTTAATATATCCATTATGGATTCTCTGTGTCTCTACAGCTGCTGAAACACACCGATGATTAATAGCTCGTGGTGACACTATACACTCAATAATGGTGTTCAACAGGTCCTATGTATACCTACACGTTGCTAACTAAATTAATGCACACAGCATGACAGTGTCCTGTCAAACAAATTCACAAAGACACCAGACACGATACATGTAGCTAGCAACATATCAAACCAAGATTATGTGATCAGCACCAGGTAACACAAAGACTATCACCCTGGTATATGTAACACAATGACATATATATCACCCTGGTAACACAATGACTTACATCCTGGTAACACCAAGACATATGATCCTGGTTACACCATGACATATACAGTATATATACACCACCCTGGTAACACAATGACTAACACCCTGGTAACACAATGACTAACACCCTGGTAACACCATGACATATATATATACCACCCTGGTAACACAATGACTAACACCCTGGTTACACAAAGACATATGATCCTGGTAACACCATGACATATATATATACCAACCTGGTAACACAATGACTAACACCCTGGAAACACAATGACTAACACCCTGGTAACACCATGACATATATATACCACCCTGGTAACACAAGGAGTAACACCCTGGTAACACAATGACTAACACCCTGGTTACACAATGACTAACACCCTGGTTATACCATGACATATATTTACCACCCTGGTAGCACAATGACTAACACCCTGGTAACACAAAGACTAACACCCTGGCAACACAAAGACTAACACCCTGGTAACACAAAGACTAACACCCTGGTAAGTTGGTAACACAATGACATGTGCACACCATGCCAC